ACTAATAATTTACAGAATGATCAAATAAAAAGTTTACTTGCAAGTAAAAGATGTGACAAGAAGTTTCAAATGCTATCCCCCTCAAATCTTCAATAAATAAAAGTTCAAGATGCATTTCTTGCAGAAATTTAAGTATAGCTAGCTAAAATTGTTACCAAATTTACTATTTCCAAGCAAACTTCTTTTTTTTTTTTGAAGGATCCTATAATAAATTGTCTTAAATTACAAAATAAACAGAGTGGAGTTTCACTTTTGTTTTTATTTCGACAATCAATTCAAAGAAACGTCGTCACTCATCTTAAATTACAAAATAAAAAAAATTATGTATAAGAATGGTAGGCTCGCATTTTATTTCAAAAACCAAAACAGTTTCATTTTTCATTTCCACTGTAATAATGATAAATGATAATTTACTGAAGACTGCTAATATGTTGTGGATTAAACAGTATTTACATTTTTTTGTTTTTAAAATGTTTATGGTAAAAAATTATTTATAGGATGACTAATACATTTTATTTAAGAAAATTAAACTGAAATTAGAAAAATAATAATTCAAGAAATATGGCACATGTTATATACAAAATTAAGCGCACTATTAAATTCAAAAAATTATAAATGGATTTGCTACTGTTTTAATCTAAAATTAAATGAGTAGCATATATATCAATATTCTAATATGAAAATTAGAATATAAAACACACATTACAAAATATAGCAAAGAAAACACAATTTTATTACATTAAGCATTTTGCATAAATTCCTACAAATTTAGTAATGCTAACTATTAAAAATAATAATTATAATAATAATAATAAAAATTACAAAGATTTTACATCTTAAATTAAGTAACATTAACAGATACTATAAAGATAAAAATATTTGTAATTTTTAAAACACTCACAAATCTATTTTTTTTTATAATAAATACATGAAATGCTATTTTAAAAGTGCTCAGACAGTAAACAAGCAGTAAAACTGTGTAAATAATTTTCTTATGACTAAAAATTAATTTATTCTACAGTATTTAAAAGCATAAAAAAAATTTAATCAGCAAATAAATGTTCCAGTTAAAGTACTATTATTTTTTTTTTCCTTTTTGTTTTACAATTACAATAAAAGTATGTGGCACAACACGTAACATCACACTAAGGAATACTTTTATGTATCTAATTTTTTTTTCTTTTTTTTTGGTCTATTACATATATTTGTTCTAGTTCTGAAAATCAAGTGTAAATATCTAATATGAATATTTCATTAAAACAGCATTAATTAAATCACATATACTTTTTATGTATATAACGACAAATAAGCACCTTTGCACTAATTTTGAGTAAATTTAAAAACATCTGAAGACAATGTATGCAAATAAATATTAATTTTTTTTTTTTAAATCTCAACACACTATTTTCTACAATAAACTGACTTAGAAATTTACTTACTTACTTTTTTAAGATAAAATTTGATAATTCTGGTCTAAAGAATTTTTTTTTTTTATTCAGANAGGTATTTGCTATAACAATGGTAGAATGTTAATGAATTACAAAAACAATATATATAACATAAATGTAAAATTTGTGAACTTACATTAGATATGATGGTGTGATACATAAAGTAGTATTAACAGTGAGAGGCAAATAATATATGCAATAAAGTACACTCTTAAAACTATATCATTTAAAACTGTGACATTGCAAACTGTTTTACCATTAAAACAATAAGACTATAAACTTATTTGCGCAACAGTTTATTAATTATAATTAAAGTTATCATTTAACAATTAAACACAAAATATCCCCAGAAATTATATACGAACAGTATTGCGAATATAAGGAAACTAGTTGAACAACCACCATGTGTAATCACTTAAGTACATGCAAACTCTAAAACTGTTTCTACTGAAAATACTGTTGAACTTATACAAATGCCAGTATTAAAAAACATTAGATAATTACAAACTAATATAAACTTCAGTGCTTTTGTAACAATTGAAAATTTAACCATATAATAAAGTAAATTACATAAATGATAAAAGATACCAGCTTTATGCTGATATATATTAAAAACTCCCCATTTTCAAGGATATTTTTCTTCTTTATATACATTTATAATCATATCCTGAGTGTTTAGATATATTCCAAATATTTACATTATACAAGGATACACACAATGTTGAAATTCCAAGGCCCCCAGTGTGTAACATTTAAGAAGGCACTTTTCATGGAAATGGACATCATTCAAAATACAACGTTTTTTTAAGATTAATATTATAGTGGGAATTTTTCAAAATTAATACTACAAGGAGAGATCAGATTCCAAAGACACAACCAAGACTAAATAGCTACATTTTAATCTGAAACGAATGTCAAGATGATTTGTGGAAGAAGAATGAGACGATGATTACGAGAAATCTTAATGTGGATGAAGCACCAACAAAAGATTCCATATGAAAATCAAAAACAGCTGCAATTAAATATGTGTTAGATTGTTTTTATCTCAATACTTATTTATATACAAGAAATGTTTTTTTTTTTTTCTGATGCCAAACAATCAGCTACATCGATATCTAAAGACTAGATTATGGACGATGCTGCAGTAAATTCTCTATTTACATACCTGCAGACAAAATCATTCTATATACTGTATATACAATATATTACATAGAGTGATAATTGCTTATATGAAATAGATTTGGCACCAAAAATTATTTCATACATAGAATAAAATCCTAAATTAAAATATTTCTCATTAGAAAGAGTAATACCAAATTAATAGTTTTTAAACTAAAATTTATCAATTTTGTTGGCAATTAGTATTGTAAATTCCAGAAGTTAATATTTAATAATAATAATAATAATAATTTTAAAANTTATTTATAGGATGACTAATACATTTTATTTAAGAAAATTAAACTGAAATTAGAAAAATAATAATTCAAGAAATATGGCACATGTTATATACAAAATTAAGCGCACTATTAAATTCAAAAAATTATAAATGGATTTGCTACTGTTTTAATCTAAAATTAAATGAGTAGCATATATATCAATATTCTAATATGAAAATTAGAATATAAAACACACATTACAAAATATAGCAAAGAAAACACAATTTTATTACATTAAGCATTTTGCATAAATTCCTACAAATTTAGTAATGCTAACTATTAAAAATAATAATTATAATAATAATAATAAAAATTACAAAGATTTTACATCTTAAATTAAGTAACATTAACAGATACTATAAAGATAAAAATATTTGTAATTTTTAAAACACTCACAAATCTATTTTTTTTTATAATAAATACATGAAATGCTATTTTAAAAGTGCTCAGACAGTAAACAAGCAGTAAAACTGTGTAAATAATTTTCTTATGACTAAAAATTAATTTATTCTACAGTATTTAAAAGCATAAAAAAAATTTAATCAGCAAATAAATGTTCCAGTTAAAGTACTATTATTTTTTTTTTCCTTTTTGTTTTACAATTACAATAAAAGTATGTGGCACAACACGTAACATCACACTAAGGAATACTTTTATGTATCTAATTTTTTTTTCTTTTTTTTTGGTCTATTACATATATTTGTTCTAGTTCTGAAAATCAAGTGTAAATATCTAATATGAATATTTCATTAAAACAGCATTAATTAAATCACATATACTTTTTATGTATATAACGACAAATAAGCACCTTTGCACTAATTTTGAGTAAATTTAAAAACATCTGAAGACAATGTATGCAAATAAATATTAATTTTTTTTTTTTAAATCTCAACACACTATTTTCTACAATAAACTGACTTAGAAATTTACTTACTTACTTTTTTAAGATAAAATTTGATAATTCTGGTCTAAAGAATTTTTTTTTTTTTATCAAGATGACTGAAGTGACAGGAAGGAAAGTAGATGACAGATAGGCAAAGAGAGAAAAAAAGGCATTCTCTGTTTACCTGTCTTCAGCTAGATTTTAAATACAATAATTATAAATGGCATCATGAATTATATTTTGAGAGAAATCGATGCTTATAAGTCAAGATTATTCACTGCCATTTAACAATGGATCTCAAAAATACTATACATATGTCTTATTAAACATATAACATAAAAGAATATTTGATTTATCATCACTTTGAGATTTAGTTAAACAAAAATTGGCAGTGAATTTCTTGATATTATTCATATAGAAAAACATGATTTTTAAATACATTTCATTATTACTATTTTTTTCTTTTCGTTAAATATAAATGTAAATAATGATGCAACAGTTTATTAATTATAATTAAAGTTATCATTTAACAATTAAACACAAAATATCCCCAGAAATTATATACGAACAGTATTGCGAATATAAGGAAACTAGTTGAACAACCACCATGTGTAATCACTTAAGTACATGCAAACTCTAAAACTGTTTCTACTGAAAATACTGTTGAACTTATACAAATGCCAGTATTAAAAAACATTAGATAATTACAAACTAATATAAACTTCAGTGCTTTTGTAACAATTGAAAATTTAACCATATAATAAAGTAAATTACATAAATGATAAAAGATACCAGCTTTATGCTGATATATATTAAAAACTCCCCATTTTCAAGGATATTTTTCTTCTTTATATACATTTATAATCATATCCTGAGTGTTTAGATATATTCCAAATATTTACATTATACAAGGATACACACAATGTTGAAATTCCAAGGCCCCCAGTGTGTAACATTTAAGAAGGCACTTTTCATGGAAATGGACATCATTCAAAATACAACGTTTTTTTAAGATTAATATTATAGTGGGAATTTTTCAAAATTAATACTACAAGGAGAGATCAGATTCCAAAGACACAACCAAGACTAAATAGCTACATTTTAATCTGAAACGAATGTCAAGATGATTTGTGGAAGAAGAATGAGACGATGATTACGAGAAATCTTAATGTGGATGAAGCACCAACAAAAGATTCCATATGAAAATCAAAAACAGCTGCAATTAAATATGTGTTAGATTGTTTTTATCTCAATACTTATTTATATACAAGAAATGTTTTTTTTTTTTTCTGATGCCAAACAATCAGCTACATCGATATCTAAAGACTAGATTATGGACGATGCTGCAGTAAATTCTCTATTTACATACCTGCAGACAAAATCATTCTATATACTGTATATACAATATATTACATAGAGTGATAATTGCTTATATGAAATAGATTTGGCACCAAAAATTATTTCATACATAGAATAAAATCCTAAATTAAAATATTTCTCATTAGAAAGAGTAATACCAAATTAATAGTTTTTAAACTAAAATTTATCAATTTTGTTGGCAATTAGTATTGTAAATTCCAGAAGTTAATATTTAATAATAATAATAATAATAATTTTGAATTTCATGCAATTATTTTGCATATGCTTTTAAAAATAATAATAATAAATGATAATTGAAGTAAACAATTATTCTAATAACACAATCATCTAGGTTAAAGAAGTTTAAATTTTAAAGAAATTAAATAATAATGAAAAAAAAAAAAAAGAATACAAATATTCTTTCTGAATTTTAAAAATTAATTTTGATGGATACTAACCATAATTTTTTCTTTTTACTCTTATCACACAACAACAAACAAAGTTTCAACAATATATATATATATATGGTTCCTACTTGTGCAGGAACAAAACATGATATGTTTAACATCAAGATTATTTTCTAATGATTAAAAATTGTTCTAAATTATTTTTAAATCCTTTATTCAGTTAAAGGAATATTCTTGTGATGAAAACTATACCAAAACTTTGAGCATTAATCACTTCTATAAATCAGGAACAAAATACCATCATTCATTTCCTCTTGACTTTGTACTTTTCCTTGGTGACTTGAACTTTCTGATCACAGAAAATAAATTGTGAGCAGAAAAAAAAGTAAAAATTACTGCAAAATTAAAAAACATCATGATCTGATGGTATTCAGATGTGTTTTCAGGCTGTTTATATAAGACTCATGAATTTTTGAGAGGAATTCAGCATCATTCTATTAAAAAATGTTATTTATTAAAAATTAAAGCTAACTAAAAATTTATTTAAAAATATCATATTCATTTTTATGTACTAAAATATTAAATATATATATATAATAAAAAAAACTACCTGCAACATATAAAGAAGTGCCTCTTTCAACTGATCTCTTGTAAGGGGAGATATTCCAGACCTAACTACCTTAGAATTTTCATTGGTATTAACAGATGGTGTAACTCCATTCACAAGATGATGTGGTAGCAGTAATCCTGAAGAGGCACCTTAAGTAAATCAACAAGAGAATTATTTGTAATTTAAACTGTTATAATGATGATGATAATATAAAAACATTACCAGGTGATGCTCCAATGTGAGCATTATTTGTTGACAGAATGTCTATGGGAGGATTATCTAAGAGAGGCGTTGAATTTGATAAAGTACCATTAGTTGAATTATTTGTAGTTGCAAAGGCCATTGGAGTGATAAGTGTCATTGGTTGTGAACTTGGTTGCCTTGGAATTATTTGCTGTAAATAATCATTTTAATTTATATATTTTATTAATTAAAATACTTAAACAGAAAAATCAATGAAAATTATGTCATAATTTATTTAAATTTTTATCATTTTTCATAAAAGTAAATAATTCATATATAAGAGAAACAAAATTGTTAATCTTTTTTTTCAATACTTTATTGCTAACAATCTATTAGAAACCCATTTATATTATTATTATTGAAAAAACAGACTGACAGCATAAGCTTACAATTTGAAATATTTCATTCATACAATGAAATATATTGGAACACTGATTTCCTAATGAAAACTATCATCTTAAGTTTTCTGCTCAAGAGCAGGTTTATAGACCAGAAGCATCAGAGAACTAAAATGCCTCTCGTCTAGTCTTGTATTCAATTTATGAGCTCTATGATGGCTTTTATTTTCCGCTAGATTTATTACACCATCATTAAGAAACAGGGCAAGCTTTAGAAAATCACATTTTATTTTCTAGAGAATGCATTTCGGACATCAAGTCATTTATCAACTGTGATGTAACTGTTTAGGAAATAATGCATACAAGTTAACAAAATTTTTTGCACTGTTACAAATTTTGTAAAATTTTTTTAACTTACATGATTATGAGAAGCACAGAAATGGTGACAATTGATAAAATAAGGATGAAAATTATTATTTACAGGTATTTGCTATAACAATGGTAGAATGTTAATGAATTACAAAAACAATATATATAACATAAATGTAAAATTTGTGAACTTACATTAGATATGACGGTGTGATACATAAAGTAGTATTAACAGTGAGAGGCAAATAATATATGCAATAAAGTACACTCTTAAAACCATATCATTTAAAACTGTGACATTGCAAACTGTTTTACCATTAAAACAATAAGACTATAAACTTATTTGCAGTAGAATTGTAACACACTGAAACGATTCACAGAAGTAACAAGAAATTTGCTGCCATTTTCCTTTTTATTTAAACACGAAGTCCCATCACATACCTCTTGGTCAAATATGGATACCATGTTTCATGTAATTTTTGACCAGTATTATTATTCATAATTTTGTCTTTGATTATTAGTATTTCTAAATGTTCACACCATCTCCTGTCTTGTGTATTAGATTCTTTTGTAACAATTTTTATGGCGTATCTAATAATTTTGCAACTTTCACCATTACAATGAAGTGCAACAGTCAAACTACTATTATTATATTTAATTGCGGATGTGTGTTCTTTAAACCTAACCTTCAAATTTTTGCCAGTTTCACCTATATAAAATTTAGGTACAGTGCAGCTACAACCAAGTTTGTAAATTACATTTCTCTGGTCCCATATATTATTATCAATGTCATGAGCATTTATCTTCCTATTTAAACTAGGGATTTTTTCAGGCACTAAAATTATACCATATTTGTATGATTTAAATTTGATTCTTTCAAAAATATTTTGTTCCTACGGGATTTTTAAAAATTTATAAGTGGTGGTGTTGCCTTCTTGTTTTTGTTTATTAGTTTCTCTATTATTGATTCAGTTGTTGATTATGCATTTTCTGCAACCATTCATTAAATTGAACTGAAACCAACTCTATCATTAACTATGGCCATGAGAGTTGAATAACTTTGTCCATCTTTCAGGTCATCAATCAGTTTTATTCTTCATCTTTGCTTACTTCCCTTCCAGCATTGTCCTCAGAAGGCAGTCTCTTCTCAAGAGATGCCCCAGCTATTTTCCTATTGCCAATAAATAAACAATTTTTAATATCAAAAGGTAACATAAATGATAATTGATCTGTCCACCTGTTTTGCTTATTTAGATCTTTGACATATTTATTGTTTCACTTACAGTGGTAGTTTCAAGGACAATGGTATGAATAAAATACCATATTTTGTTGCAAAAATTCTACTAAAAACATAGGTGCAATATATTTCCTGATATAGAATATTAGATAGTAGTATAATTAACAATACAATATTAATCTTTTACATAGCTGAGTGGATAAAGCGTTTAATTATCATATGCATATGTTTCAGGTTTGAATCTTAAATTTTTTTTAAAAAAGTTCTCTCTAAAGTTCATTGAAATACATTATTAGTGCAATGTATTTTTATTTTTAACAAAGCCAAATCATTTTTTGTAATTAGAAGATTTATTTGTCATGCAATACAAAATTTCAAATTATTTTCCAGTTTTTTCAAGCATTTTATTTCTACAACATTGTATTATATCAGCAACAGATATGGAATATAAAGTTATAACTGTCTCCTTCTCAAATTACTGGAGTGATCAATAGAAATAAAAACGAAACCTTTAATAACAAGTAATAGAACTTTAATGACAAATTCCGAACATTTTCGGCCATTGAGATATTTGAAACTTTAAAAACTGAAGTTTCAAACATTATTGTTCTAACATTCCAGTTTGGAATTCTGTTTTCATTAAAAAAACCTGAGGCAGGACTTGGTGAAGGCCAAAACATTTGGATTTTGTCATTAAAGTTCTGTTACTGGTTATTAAAGGTTTTGTTTTTATAAAATTACTTTCTTGTCTAGTCGTGAATTATTGGTGTAACAACAAGTTTAGGATATTACATAATATGAAACTATTCAGCGACTGATTACATTTACAATTACAATAACTAAAAAGTTCATATCATGTGACTCCTCCAACTCATATTGCTGCATAAATAATATCAATATAACACTCGCAAGAGGGATTTTTGTTATTGTGTAATCTTGCAGCACATCTATCTGGAAATAATGTTTAAAATGTTAAATTAAAATGAATAAAATAAATATTATAACAACAAAATACTAATTTTCTTCCTTAAAATTAGAAAAATACTTCACACAATAATATGCTTTAATGCAGATTAGATGGTCTTTTAAAAAAGCAAGATTTGAACATATAATATAGTAGTTGAACACTATCTGTTTGGCTATGTTGCTGTTAACATATCCACATAATACAATACAAAGGAACAGAAAATTTTAAACTCATTTTCTTGAAATGTTTGAGAGTGGCATTGAATGATTTTACCATGAATTACTGGTATTTTTTCATTTAGACATTACAGATTTATAAAGATAAAAAAAGTAATAAAAAATCTACTCACAAAACAATGCTGATAATCACAATACCTACTAATATAAAACAATGTTTTCTATCAGTGTAAGTGCTAAAATAATGCAAGAAATTTGGAGGTAATTAAATGACTGCTAGTGGATACTATCTCTTTCTGTTATTTTACTACTTTTGTTATCCTTTGATGAAATAAACAAATTTTAGCTTTGCCAATACAGAAAATGTTATAAATAATAAATTACAAACATACAAAAAGCACAGATTTGACACCACCACTGTATTTATTTATTTATCATAAGTTTATTATATATCATATATTATCTACCATAAGTTATCATTTATTTTACAAGAAAACACATTAATGTCAATGTTTTCATTCTTCATAATCATTAAGTTAGTTTTGTAAGTTAGTTTGTGTGTGTTTTTTTTGCACATATGCATATATAGAAAAACTATGAATAAAAATTTACTGTAACATAATTTTCATGCAAATTTTAAGTAAACAAAAATAAATCTGTTAAAATGAAATACTGATCTAATTATTTAATTTATGAATATGAATTTTATTAATGATTTCATATAAAATAAATAGTTAAATAATCGCTAACAAATGCAGCAAACAATGAAAAAGAATTGCAATAATGATAATGCCATACTCAACAATAATTGAATAAGATTAGTAAAATGCCTACATACTATAATACTTTTGTGATATAATTTTCATGCAATTTCTCACATTATTAACTAATTTTCAGTGAGAACTTAGCTTTAACCTATTTTCTAACAAAGCTAGACATATTTTTCTGTTTTCAGTTTGATTTATTTCTTTGTACAGACATGTGGTTTATAAACTATAGCTTACATTCTAGCAAATATTTGTTAATTTATATAAGAAAATTTTATTTACTTACCAATGAAAATGAATCATTTGTTGTTTGAGATTCCATATTACCTCCAGGTAAATCCATTAATGAAGATGAAGTATCTACAAGTTGATTCTGACCAACACAATTTTCAAAAGCTGCAGGAGTAAGAATAGGATGAATAACTGACTCCTGCTTAGGAGAAATCCTCAAATTTAATGGTTCTATATTGGAAAGTTTTTCTAATGAAAGAAAATTACTGCTCTCCTCTATGATAGTAGCTGGACTCTTAGTGCAAATTCCTGCAACAGGCAAAGGACTCATACCTTCTTTCTGAGAATTTTCTCTCAGTCCAGAAATTATTTTTAATTTCTCTTTTAAATCATGTTCTAAGCTTTCCACTGTGGTAGGCTGAACATTATTGCCTGTTGAATTCATTGTATGATTAACATTTGTCAGTTGAGTATCTACATTTGTTTTGGATCCATCTCCAAATGAAACTTCATTTCTTTGAAGTTTTTCAATATGCTCAACAGTATTTGCAGGATTGGAAAGTAGTCTTTGTAAAATAGTTCCTGCATTATCTTTGGCTTTGGTATCATAAGATCCAGCAGAAGAAAACGAACGTGTTCGCATTAATGAATCTTGATTTCTGTCATTTTCTAGTGAATAGATTTCTTGACTATATTGACTGACTTGTGCAAATAACGAATCAACACTAAGTGGTGTTGACTGTTTAATGGCAGAGGAATTTTTATTATCTATTCGCATAGGTGTTGGCTTAATCACTTTATCATGTCCACTCTCAGTAATAGACTTTGCAACTTTTTTTGGTTCATTTTTATCATTAACATACCTGTTGTTAACACAATTATTGGATTTCTGTAAAATAAAATATTATTCATTAATTATACAGGTTTCATTAATTCAATTATTTTAAAAATTATTAACAACAATTTATGTATAATTTATTAAAGTAACTAGCTTAAACATAATTAACAAATATTTTTGTATTTTAGTATTGATAATGATTAATTTACGTTTCTCTTCAGAAAATTAGTTTAACAAATTTGTAATAGTGCAAACATCTTTCCACAGTAATAGGAAGAGGTACTGAAAAGAACAGTAACAATAAAGGTCTAAAAAATTATTTATGTCTGTTATAGTAGCTATACATGGTAATAATGTATATATGATTTAAGCCAGATAATCTGCCGGATTCTTCAGGCTATAATGTAACTAATTTTAATATTAAAATTAGTTATATTACAGCCTGAAAAATCCAATCACCTGGCTTATATTAAATATTGGGTTAAATGACAATGTTAATACATATATGATTATAAATTAGAATATTAAAAATAATACAGTCAAATTTTTAAATTACAAAATTTTTAAATAAGAATACATTTTCATTTAATAAATATTTAAATAACTTGCTTTTGAAACTATACTAAATTTTAGAATGAAATTATTATAATAGAATATAATTTTTCATTTAAGTTGAAACAATTCCTCTATATATAAATCATTTCAATTAGAACTAAACTGATTGAACTTAACATTATTCATCAGTAGAAGCATTAAAAATAAGTTATAACATGTAGAATTCTAATATTAATTGACATATGTTGCTGTTAGTTGATAAATTAAAGTTATAACCTATTATGAGATACCAATAAATATTAAAAAAAAAAAAAAAACTAACTGCCTTGTGGTGTTATTTAATGAACAAAACACATTTATTACAAAATTATAAATGCAAGCACTTTCAATAAAACAACTTATTGTTTTCAGGTAATAGAACAGAATATAGATTCAAAATTAAACTGATTGAACATTTTAAAATAAATCAATGGTTTAAATAAAAGGTGGAAGAGACAATGCCTAAAATAATACATGAATGGGGAGAAAATAACTACTTTAATGTTTTCACTACTGAAATCAAATGCACTAACAGGTTTAGATTACATTACAAGTAATTCCACTGTTTTTTTTTTCAGCGGGCAAGGATATGATACTGTTGGATGTATGAGGATCAACGGATATATCAGTCATTTCTCCATTCTCAGCACAAAGTAATAAAGTCTCCATTACAAGACCTTCTTTCAAAAACATTAAAACTTAAAATAATCATAAAATACACTTCACGCCAACGTTCAAATAAAATAAAGTACAGTAATTAACACTTCAGTGTTGTGACATTACAATCCCATCCACCCAGACATTAATAGACAAGAAATTACAACTTATTAATAGGGCAGTGCACAATGCTAATTATTCTCCTTCCAGGTTTTGTTATCTCTATAACAGTGCCAAAAACAAATTGTTTCCACAGTCTTTCATCTGAAACAAAGAACTAAAGATAGTAGAACCTTCAATACCAGTTTTGGCCCCTATACCGCTAAAAATAGCATGTCTTTTTAGAAAGCGTGGCTTTACTTTGCCTATAGCCATACAACCAACACTAAGAAGAGTGTTATGTAATGATAGAGATACTCTCACATGAAATGAAAAATCAGGAGTCTACAAAATTCCATTAAAACATATTCTGTCAGGAGAGGAAATTATCTACATAGGGGCTACTACCAGAATGCTACAGTCCTGTATCCTGGAACATCAAGAGGATATTAGAAACAATAGACCAACAATGGAGTTAAGGTACTAGACCAGGAATATCTACTGCTTTGGGCACACACTAAAATAGTTAAGCAGTGCAATGATCGAAGAGAATTATTTATATGGGACAACCTACTACATATATCCGCTGTAACACCGTGCAATACACTGACCTTAGAAATCCCGCAACAGCAGATAACATTATTCAAACAATTTAAATTATGATTTTACATTCTCATTTGTACCACAATCAAATACAGCTCACTTAATTGCTTTTTAAGTATTTTGGAGATATTACATCATTTGCAGCACGTTTCTATAATTTTTGAAAATATTTCAATTTTAATTTTAGTTTATTCTGTATTCCATTCACGTGCTTTTGATAATTTGAAAAATCTGTTCAAAAGCCAAACATCCAAAAATAATTGTATTCGATTTTTCACCTGAGAATGGTAGCTATAAGCTATCAAAAGTGCTAGCGAGTACGTCTAAAATCTAAAAAGTCACAATTTGTAACGCCACAATGCTGAAGTGTTAATTACATTATTTTATTAAAACTTAAAACGTTCATTAGATATATCAACTTAATACTACTAGTTTCTCATAAGTTTAAATAGTTCATAATTTGTAAATATTCAGATTTTTTTCAGTTAGTGCAGTTCTCAATTTGAGAACTGCACTAACATAACTATATTCACAGAAATTCATATTATATTTCCTTCTCACCTTCCATATCAGAATATTTATGTGAGGATCCGAATCCAGACTTTCAGTACGTTTATATCATTATCTCCTATCACCACATCGTAGCTATACTTTTGTTAAATAACTGTCAACTTTCGTACCTTTCGAGCCTGATGACAACGCTTTCTCATCACCTCTCGACCTAATATTTTGATTTCAACAGTACAACATATAGAACAGAACAACAAAGTGTGGCAGTCGTTGTCCGTCCTTTGAAAGAGTCAGTTGTCACCCGTACCTTGTCCTAAGTGCCTATTATCTGAATTAACTAAAATACTTGATTGCCTAACTGGACTAACTTCGTTGTCAAGAGCCTCAAAACTTACCAGCGAATCACTAAAAACTCAAGGTATTTATTGCCATGCATATTTACTGTAAACTCTCTCTCTCTCGGGAATCGGGGAACTTTAATGTCCATTTTATATATCTATTATCCCTCAAACCAAATGTATCTAAAATCGAGCCTAGTTAAGATCGATATATTGTATGTCCTGTATGGCCTATAGTTACCCATTAAATAGTTCTTACGTTAACACGTCTCTGAGTAAGTCACTTCCAGTGTGTTCTCTCTCCCTCCATCCCGAATCCGTTTGCTCACACACGCGATCGTATGCGCGAGAACATAATGGTTTCTGTGTCTGTCCATAAAGACACAGTGGTGTCAGTCCTGATGAAACTTGTCATTGTGATCTTCACCAACAAGATGTTGACCCTTTGGTCTCATGATGCCAAAGAATATGGGTGAGGCCCTTTGGCATTGTCACATTTATTATTAAAAAAAATTAATAAAATAATTTTTTTTATATTTTTATATTTAATTAAGCATTCGTTAAAATTCAAACATATCTCAATTTAAGTTATATATTCATAATTAATAAGAAAATATTTCTTTTCATATAAGGTTGATAATTGAAAATGATGATTAAGAACCAATTGCTAATGATGTTTGTAACTAAATATAACAGCATGCATATCTATTATATGAAATATAAAAGCTGATTTACTTTAACTTTTGCTGTTCAATGATTGTTCTTACATAATTATAGAAATAATTATAATTTCTAAATTTATAATGACTATTAAAAAAGTTTGGTAAGTTACATAAAAACAAAAAGCATATTTTTAAATAAACTATTTACATAAAAAACTGATTTCCTAATTTAAAAAAATTATTGTAAAATAAATAATTAACTCAAATTCTCAAAAATAAAGTTCTAACTGGTTCAATCTCATATAAAGGTGGGCTTCATTAAAATAAAGAATCCCTAGTTTAATTATCCCAGAAAAAAAATATTTCAAGAACTTATGATTTCACTTTATACTGAAAGACTATATACTAAATCATTGATCATTAATATACTAAAAGATTATACCAATATACATTTTTCATTATAGGAAATAGAAATAAAAAATTTGGTAACACTGCCCATATTAAATTAATACAATTTTATGTTACTGAAATTACAGTGTTAACCTAAATATTCATTGTAGATTTCTGTTAACCTATGATCATATGCAGTTTTATTAGCATGGTTGTATGCATAAGGTGGTGATTTTCTGTTGACTTTTCACAAGTAATTATGCTGCATGTAATTATTGTTAACTGAATTTGATGATTCTAAAAAGCCCTATTGTGTGTCTTCTCTCTGAATGTGCCAAATTTAAAAATCATATGTTGTCTAGTTTACAAGATACTGTTTTCTTTACAAAACAACATCCTTAACCCTTCTCTAATAGGATGCCAACTGAACTTTGCAATAGTAGAAAATAATGTGCAATGAGTTGAGCTGGAAATGAATGATGGGAAGGGTGAGATGTTTCTCAGGAGTAGAGAATGATTTTTTTCTGTACTTTTTTGGGACAAAAATAAATCTGAAAAAAATGTAAATCATTGAAGATCATAGCATCCTACCCAATTCAAGGTCATAGTGACTTAGAGACCACCATGTCATGATATCATGCACAGCTGTTGAACACCTATGACATCATGACTCACTTTTGAGACACTCTACAGCAGTTTCCATGATTATGTCATTGAAAGTGGTATCAGAGCAGAAATCATCACCTTATGTGTATGATCATGTGGAAAAAATATTGTACACAAGAACATGCACAAGTCAGCAAATTTTCACAGTGGTTTTTGAGGGCCTGTGATAAGTGGAAAAAGTTTATTCGACTGAAATTTTTACAAAGATGGATAGTATATTGCATGATGATATCATGAAAGCATGGCTAAGTCAATTTAGTAAAAACTTACCATGGAAAAATTAGGTGTGGAGGAAAAAAAATATTGCTGCTACCACATGCAATCACAAGTTAATTATAAATAAATAGTAAAATACAATAATGTACAATATTTATCACTGAATAATACATATTTAATAAGCAATTATTTATTTTGATATCATCATAATGTTGGCTGCAATTCTTAATCATCTTTTAATTAAAAAAAAAATCACGCTTTCCAGTCTAGAGCAGAAGTTTGTATATAGTTAATCAGAGCCTCCATCCAAAAGCTTTCCATATCTGGTCTCAATTTTCATCTATCTAACTCCATTCTCAAGATTAATGAAGGACAGACAACAGTGGAAATGTATAGGGCTGCAATTTTTAAACTGCAGACCAAAAATAATAAACTTAATATACTTTAGAAAATGATAAATGAGAAAAATATTCTTACGGAAAATTTTTGAAATAAATTTACATACCTTATCATATTCATCTTGTGCTCGCGAAAGTAAGGAAATTATATCCACGTCTTTAACTAATAATTTCCCAGATTTTTTATCTTTGTTTTTGTGTGATTCACTCTCAGAAACACAACGAGGTCTGTGTGGTCCATTCCTTTCATGTTTTATAGAATTAGAATAAGATGGCAAACCTCTAAATGCATTTGTATCTCTCTTAATTTTTCCAGGAAGACTTGACTTAAGGCTAAAATAATAAAATTAACAGAAAAATATTTAATATTAAAATTTTTCAAAATAATAATAATAATAATAACAGTTTGATTATTTAATTCATTTTCTTCTTTCAACATGAGTTTCCAAGGTTATAGTACATTAAACATTTAGCAGTTAAAAAAAGTAAATTTTGAAGCATATTTTCAATGAAAATAACCATTATATGATATACCAATTCTGTACATTACAATATTACATTTAACAAAACTAATTTTAACTATGCCATAATTTGATCCTCATAAAATAAATAAAATTAAACTTTTACAATAAATTATAACACATTCCACATGTCAATTCTATTAGTATTCTATTTTAAATACTAAGCAGTCAACATGTTCTTTTTGACTCAATAATTATTTCAAATTTATAACATTAAAAATGTAAATTTTCAGTTTTAAACATTACTTGATATATCCAGTGCTTTTTTTGTCATAGAACGCAATGAAACAACGTTCCACCACCTTTTTTCGATATATTTTAAAAGTTTTAAGAGAATTTTTGAAAATTTGATGTTTGGTCTGCATTGAATCGCTCTGTTGAGCATAGAAGAAAAACAACAAAATTATTAAGACGGTGCTCTTGCTTGTGTACGATGCATGTAATATATTTTTAGTAATGAGATGGGCATTCCACCACCTTTTATTTCCCCAAAAAAGTGCTGGATATATCTAATTATAAAATATTAGTATTATCTAAAACAGATATAATTTTTGTATAGTTTTCAAGTTTTAAATTTAAAAGCATAACTAATTTTAAAAATGTATCAGCACAACATTTGAGGAACAGAAAGCATATAAATAACTAATACAGAGACATGTCTAAAAATATATCTATTTCATTTCTATAGTTAGATATTAATATTAAAGTTATATTATGCATCTTTTTCCAACTGGAAGCCTTGGATTGGCAATAAAATTGACATTGGAACATAAATATAATCCCACATATATTTATATTGTTTCAGAAATGTCTGTAAAAAAACGAAAGGGTTGTAGAGAGGTTAATTTTGGTCAAAAACTCTAGTGCCAGTTTTTGATTTGAAGCATTCTTTTTGAATTATAAGTGATAAATAAATTGTGACATCATTTCCTGTTTAGCAAAAAACAATGTCTGACAAGAAAATATCTGTTAATAATTGTGTATTAGTTTTGATATCCTTCATTTATTCTCTGCAATATTAATATCAAACTAACATGTAATTATCAACAGATATTTTCTTGTCAGACATTGTTTTGCACTAAACAGGAAATGATGTCACAATTTATTTATCACTTATAATTCAAAAAGAGTGTTTCAAATCAAAAACTGGCACTAGAGTTTTTGACTCAAAATTAACCTCTCTACAATCCTTCCATTTTTTTAACACACATTTCTGAAACTGAGTGTATATGTGTATTGCTGGCTGGATGGCCAAGGCAGTTAAGGGGACCCAAGATTAAATCCAGGTGGTATCAAGCATTAGTTCAATATGGCAGTCATAGGCCCAAGTTGTGATCAGTTATTTTCAAATTAAAAGTTACAAAATGCATATCACAACAAGTCAAATGGTAATTTGCATGGGCTTTTCCATGGAATCACAGTCAATCATTTTTAAATTTTACGTGATAGGCAGTGTTTGCTCTGAGCTGGATGTCTTGTTTTAAAATTTCATAGAATTAGAATACACAAGTAGACATGTTTTTTTTTATTAATTTATTTTTCTCAAGTAAAATATAACATATTAAAATAAACAGCAGCCACTGAGAAATTCTGGACTTTCCAGAAGGTCAGTTCACCACTGACAACTAGTAAAATAATTCATGATTATATGGTTTTTTTGATATAAAATAAAATATAATCTAAAATGAATGAAATATTTAATGAGACTTCAAATTTATATTAAAAATGCCTTAATTCATAATGGAGTAATTGATTTTAGTAAATTAAAAATGTATTTTTATATTTTCTAAAATTTCATTTCTAACAATAAAAAACAAACAATTCACAACTTGGTGAATTTATCGACACTTGGCAAATAATTTCATCATTCACTTTTAATTCATACAGATAATGCGTTTCGGGTTTTCACCCCTCTTCAGTCTGTTACATAGATAGGTTGTATCTTGTGTATACAGTATCTGTCAGGCACCTTCCATATCCCACTCCCCTTCCCTTCCATCTCAACTTGGTGGCCTCCCCTGCATGCCTCGTAACTTGTAACGTCTCACTCCCCGAGTGCCGTACACAGCCTCATCTGCGACTTTATAAACATTCTATTTCAATAGCTGTAGCAAGTTTTTATGAATGTCAATGCTTAGATTCTTGTTAATATTATTTTTGTCTGTAGTAATTTCGTAACTTTCCTTAAATTTTCTTTTGTACCAATTCTTTTTCCTTGTGTACTATTATATCATCATTGGGACTGGGGTTGTTTGGAAAATTGATTTTTCGGATAACCGATTATGTACAAAAAAATATATTAACCTATCCCATGTTGAAATTTGTTCAAATCCTGGCACGTCCTTAAGTATCCTCTCATGGTCGTGCTAGTGCTGCCAGCTAAAAAAAGTGCACCAACAAAAATAATATTGGAGTAGCCCAAGACATAGCCAAAGATTGCAGTGCCACAGCACTAGCAGAAATTTAAATTTGCCAACTGGAAAGCTTTCGGTTAATTGATGTTTCAGTTGATCGACATTCAGATAATCAATGCTCTACTGTATTCCCATTTTCCCTTTGGTGTTTTTGGTTTTTCTTGTGTTTCCTTAAAATTTAAAGAAAATTTTGGCTAGAAAAACTAAAATTGCTTTATTGATATTTAAACTGAATATATTATGAAACTGTTACTAATAATTATAATTAAACACTCTAAGAATGTATTGGCTCTGTTTTGTTTGCATATTTGTATTATGTGCATCTATTTATATAAATTATTTGTATGGAAAAATTACATAAAAAGCTTTAGTCCATAAATTAAAGCCATTAAATTTTTTTTTTATTTCTAAAAAGTAGGTGTGTAGTCATTACATTTGTTCTAGGAGATAAGTTATATGTATTGTAATAAAATAAATTTTTCTTCTCTTAAACAAATTACAAAAATGATAAAGTTTGACACATACAAATATATATATATTTTAAAAATATTTTACACAATAATAGCATCATTTTCCACACTAAATGAAACATATCTTTCTAAATAAAAATTTAATTTTGCATTTTAATTTTTTGTTTTCTTTTTTTACCTTGTGACTTATAAAAAAAAAGCAAATAAAATATGTCAGAGACTATTGTACCATTCTGCCATTGAATGTAAAAATACCTATCTATTTCAGACAGTAATGGTAAAATAAACTAGGTAAAAAAAAAGTAACATAGAACTGAAGAAACATATGAGTATCTTGAATTTATAGTTTCATATATGTGCAATATTTGATATATGAGATAATCATCAATTTTTTGATAACTTTCCAAAACTTTTTAAAAATAGAAATGTTTATGAGATGAGAATTTTGCTATATTTAAAATATATATTTTGATTTTAATTATCAGTCACAATAATGTTAAAAAAAAAAAAAAATAAACTTGACAATAGGTCTGACGAAGTTTTACAATACTTTACAGAATTGAACTTATACAATAACCTTCTCATAAATCAGCAAACCAAATAATACAGTAACCCCTTGTTATATCACACTTGTAGGAAGACAAAGAAAACGTGTGATATATCAAAGTGCTAAAAATTCTGAGCTTATACTAAACAGATTATATGTGCTATGGAATCTCTATCCTCTGTTCTTTCATCAGCAAGTGTTTCTGATATAAAATAAGCTTAGTTTTGCATTACTTATTTACTCAATTCATGGGTATTTCATATTAAATGGAATTTACCTAAACATTGATACCATAAATGCCCATTTAGCATTATTGTTTCTTTAACAATGACATTTAAAGACAAATACTGTCAATATAACAACAAAATATCAGTTGTGATTTTATTATACAGTACTATTTCACAATAAATTGCCTATTAAAAATTCATGTAATTTATATTTTTAAATAAACATTATAAAGACAGTAATTGAAAATTTTAAAAATAATTATTAAACATATAATAATACATCAAAACTTATAAAAATACAGAGTAAAAATTCTCTAAAAAGCAAAATAAAGTTACTACAGTATAAAAATTTCAGAACTTTCTGTTCAGAAATATATCTTTTCTTTACACATTACCCAGTGAATTTGAAATTTCGCACAATTTATGTGAATTGAAGCAATTCTGTCAATTCACAAAAACGTGTGAAATTTCAAGTTCATAGAAACTTGTAAATTGAAACCAATAAATAAACAATTTTTAATATCAAAAGGTAACATAAATGATAATTGATCTGTCCACCTGTTTTGCTTATTTAGATCTTTGACATATTTATTGTTTCACTTGCAGTGGTAGTTTCAAGGACAATGGTATAAATAAAATATCATATTTTGTTGCAAAAAGAAATTTAGTGGCATTTTAAAATTTATTTACTGTGCTTTTAAAACTTGGGAACAAAAAAAAAGCACAACATATCAAAATCTCTGATACAATGAGGAGCTACTGTACTTCAATTAAACTCCAGCTAACATTTTCAGTTCTGCTATTGTTGAAAGATTGTTATGAATGTAACAACCTGATGATGGTTTTTAAAAAAAGAGACCTTAGGCTGTTACATTCAGAACAATCTTTCAAATATATTGAAATCATTGGTTTTAATATATTTGATTGTTGAAATATCAAAAGTTAAAAAGAAATCATCTCCTATCAAGTTCATACAAAATTTAACATTTCATTTCATAAAATATCTTTTATGATTTTTTTATGCTGTATAGTTGGAATTGAAATTTATAATTTGTAATGAAAAGTAAACTAAAAATCACAGTAACGTAACATTCATTTTACTTTTCAGAATATCATATTAAAAAACTAAAATTTAAAAGTTACAATATATAAATACCTATTCATAAGTTGGCCTAATCGAGTACACTCTTCATTCTCATAAAACCATATGCCATAAATATTACCTATATTTAAAATAAATATTAAGATATTAAATCATCAATTAAGTTTACAAAAATTAAAAGTGTTTGCATGAAAACTAAATGTTTCTAAAAAATTTTATGAATACAAACCATTTGTAAGAACTAATTTTTGTCATTATATAAAAAACATTCTTTTAGATGCATGCTATCTTCAACAATTTACTAATATTGATAAATATTTTTTAAAACTTACAAATTTATTGTTGTACTATTTCTGGGGTCTATTACATCAGATATTAATTTAACTCTCTCTTTGTAAAGTAATTCGATATAAATAGCCATTTCATTATAGTGGATTATAAATGAAATCGCTACTTATATGAGATTAATGGTTGGATTAATTGCAAAGGAAAAGTTTAATTTCAACATTATAATCCATTCTAACATAATAATTATTGAAATACTAATTCTAGAGATACAAGCAAATTATTAAAGTTAGTTTTAGTATATATAATTCCAAGTAAAGTCAAGACAATACAGAATTATTATGATAATGAATGAAATATTGAAACAGTACTATTTAATTAAACACAAAGAAGTCTACACTAAAATTCTATAACAAATATATCTGGCAGGATTCAAATTTGCAATCCATAAAGAAATAAAGCTTTAACACATTTTGTTGTCAGACCAACTAATAACAAATAATAAGGCTGCTTATTATTTTCTAAATGCATTATTTATCATTAGAAAATATGTGCATTCTTATTTGTAAAAAAGAATTGACAAATAAGAATGCACTATTTTTTAGTCTGCTTTTTTTTTACAATAAATTTACCTTAGATGAAATTAACTTTCATAAAACAATATATACTTTATTGAAATAACTTAAAATTTTATCATTAATTAAATTTAAAAAAAATTTTTTAACTTATTAAGTTGCCTTCATTCATTGAATTTACTTATTTTTTCAAACAGTTAATTTAAAATGATATATAATGTGTAATGTAAAAAACAACAATAAAATTAATTAAAGTAATAATATAACAAACATTTGTATTAACAAAACTTGTTTAGTGTATTATTGTCTTATAAATGCATTCATAGCATCCATCTAATTTATCTTTCTAAACTTGAAATAATTCCAATTTCAGCAGGATGGTGATCATTCATATTTTCCAAGATTACTGCCAGAAAATTCAGAATAAATTTTTTCTTATTAACAAATCAGATAAAGAACGTTGGTTGAAGCCAATATAAAACTACAAACTGTGATATAAAAATTGAATGTAATTATTATTAAAGTTCTTTATCCCAAACAGTTCAAATTTTACAAAATTCTAGATTATCTAGCTGATTGCATTTATCCATTTTGGATTTGATCTTAAGAAGTCCAGATAAACAAATTACAATTGTATTAACTTGCTACAGCAAGGATGTGTTAATTTTTGTTCCAAATCCATTATAGATGATAATGTCATAAAACTTTATGTATAACTATTTATGACTACATACAAGTGTGCACCTCATGTACATAGATGTTGATGTATGTGAATGCATATACAGTAGAGCATCGATTATCCAACCGCCGATCAACCGTCACATCGGTTAACCGACCGTGTTCTAGTCGGCAAATCCAAATGTCCGCTAGTGATGCGGCACTAAAATATTTGACTATTTCTTGGCTACTTTAATATTATTTTTGTTAAATTTTTGGTGTTTTAGCTGGCAACACTGGCTTGACCATGAAAGGAATGTCAGTATTTTTAAACGAGGCTTAATTTTCTAATTACGAGTGGTTGTTTGTTTTGTGAGCAATAAAATAATTTTTAACAAAATAATAGCAACGATTATTATTTTAAAGATTTTTGTTAGGCTTAACTTCGATGAAAATTCAACGTGAAGTAGGTTGATAGCAATATACTACCGTGTTTCCCCGAAAATAAGACATCCGCAGAAAATAAGACCTAGCACAGATTTTGCTGAATTGCGAAATATAAGACCTCCCCCTGAAAGTAAGACCTAGCGAAGTGCTTTTTTAGTCGTAACGGTCATCGACAGATGGTTGAAAGTGGCCGTTGGCTTTTTGAAAGTACTGTACAGCCACTGATTGGTCAGCAGACAATTACGCCACACGGCATGATTTGTATAAGACTATTGCTTGGGAATCACAGATTTGCATAACGTTACGGCTGGTGATGGCTAATTGGTCGGCCGGGAATCACCCCACATGACATTTGCATAGTGCTACGGTTCAGTAAGCACTAATTGGTCATCGAGTCCGATGTTGACGCTATAGAAAGGCGACAGTTCGACACACCGGATATATGTCACTCTCGTCTAAGTTCGACTTGGGAATTTTTTTGTTCAATAATAAATGTGAATTCTTCTTCCTGGAAAAAATAAGACATTCCCTGAAAATAAGACCTAGCGCATTTTTCAGAGCAAAAATTAATATAAGACACTGTCTTATTTTCGGGGAAACACGGTATCAATAATATACTAATTACATGGGGTATACTATACTAATAATGTATTTTTTCATAGTTTTCAGTTATCCATTTTTTCAGTTATCCGACAAACCCCAGTCCCCAATTGAGTCGGATAATCAATGCTCTACTGTATATAGATTGAACATTGTACTCTTGGACAGTATATTTTTCAACTTGTAACAGACTCTGCTGGGGAGTTTAAAAGTTCAAACAATTCTTCTTTTGGTTGGTGCACATAGTAAATGTGCATGTAAAAATTTCAACCTGATAGTTAGGTATTAAAGCCAAATGATTGCAGGATTATATCATGCTATATTACTATTATTATTAACAATTAAATGCTAAGTAATTTGGCATTAGAGATAGGCATTAGATGTAATTTATTGCTACATTTAATAATTAATTTAGAAAATTCTGGAAGAAAAGAATCAGCCCAAAGTGGGACTCAAACCCACAATTCCTGCTTACTGTATGGTCATGTTGTCAGTTATGATACCCAGACCTTCATCCAATCTTTGCTTCCAGAACTATTAATTTAGATTTAACCATACTCCGTTATATATGGTGCTGGCTGGAAATGACTAATAATAGAGTATGGTTTTATGTAAACTAACAGTTCTAGAAGCGAAAATTGGATAAAGATCTGGCAATATGACTGCACACAATAAGTGGGAATTGTGGGTTTGAGTTCCACTTCAAGTATCTTCTAAATTAATTATTAAAATATTAATTTAATTATAATTATTAAAGCTGGAAAGAGATGGAACCTAACTACCACCTCTAGTACAGGCATGGCCAACATATGGCCTGCGGGCCAGATCTGGCCTGTCTAATGAATTTATGTGGCCCACAATCAATCTTTCAAAATAGCTCGATGAAAAATTCTGATGCCTAAACTAAACTAAAAAAAAAAAAAAAGTCAACAACTCTATCTACAATCTCTATCTACAATTCAGTCTCTACGGGGTGACACCACAATGAGATCTCGCACCACCTTAAAATCTTCCTAGGGCAACCTCTGGGGCCATATTCTGGTCACTGTCTCTGGTCTCTCGCAAGCCGGCTGATTGGCTAATCATTTGGATTAGCCAATCAGCCGGCTTGCGAGAGACGAGAGACAGTGACCAGAATACAGCCCCTGGTTCAGCCCGTGGAAAAAGTTTTATTTCCAATCTGGCCCGGGGGCAAAAACTGTTGGCCACCCCTGCTCTAGTACCAAATTACTTAAAATTTAATTATTAATAATAATAGTATATAGTGATATCACAGTATATAGTATAAGATATCACAGTATATAGTATAAGATTATATCACAGCTTTGTGATATCACAGTATATAGTGATATCACAAAGCTGTGATATAATCTTGAAAATCATTTGGCTTTAACATGTAAAAAAATGGACGTGGCCATTATGTAGTTGTACCATAGTGTTTATTTGATCAAAATTGGCAAAGGCTTTTCCAAGATATCCAGGAAAAAAGTGCAGAAGGAATGAATTTTCACATTTCAGTGCATGCGAGTTCAAAGCTTAAATTTGGTATAGGGTAGTTGGGGCAAGGGCCGACACACCAAAAAGTTTTGGACTGATTGTGAATTTAGCAGGAACACCATATGCTGTAGTAATGCCCTTTACTGATATTAAAATTTTTTTCTATTTAATTTTTTTCAAGTTTATTTCGATCAAGTTTATTTGAGAAATGGAGAAAACACAGAATATTTGAGATGATATCTTGTGAACTTCACACTAGTCTCATGTTGTCAATGATAACTTTATGGTTATTTGTTTATGATACAGAATGGTGGAGGTTATATAAAAATTTTATGTTCTAGCAAATTTTGCAGGAAATTAAGGGTAAATCTATCAACTAAGATATTAAAAAATAAAATCTAGTCCACAACACATAATAAACATATATATATATATATATAAATAGGCCTACTATTGTCTACATAATTTAATTTATTTTAAGATTCAATTTTTAGCTTCAATATGAAAGAAAAATTTAAATTTATTCCTTGCAAATTTCAGTATAAAATTAAATATTAATAAATGTTATCACATTAGATTATTTACAGCTAGAAATTCAATATTCTATCTAAAATAATTTATTAAGTAGTAAACAGAGGAGAAACAGTTTATATTATGGATAAAAGATTAAATAATATAATTTTTCATTACAACTTTCCATTGGTTTAATTAATAATACCAAAATAGAAAAGAAAATAATTTTTATTTTTAATTTAACCAAATTTCACAATTTACTTTTTTAACAGAAAAATTAAAAAACTACACGCAAATTATAATTTCTATTCCAAATATATATGCTATTTATTTCCCACAATTTAAAGTTATATAAAAGTTGATTATTATTACTATAATAACCAAAGTGTGTTTGTTTGTGTCTTCATTTATTGTGTTTCTTTCTCAACAGATGGTGGTACTTCATAACACACTGTAATATTTATTAATGATTATTTTTTTATTATGTTGTTGTTATTAATATCAATAATAGTATTCTTATATTGTTTATTAATGTTATTAATTTTATTATTATAATATCCAAAATCAGATTGTTGACCAGATGGTGCTACTTCATATCATTTGGCATTACCATTTTTACTGACCCAGCTGTTATGTATACATAACATGGGAAAGTATTGGAATTATGTCAAATTGAACCCTCTGAGTTTTTTGCAAATCTCCACATTTCGAGACCTCCTGAATCCAAAAATTCAAAAAAAGGCAAAAAATTCTGTGTGTTGTTGGCATCTATTTCACTTAATATCCCTTAGAAGGGTGTAATAGATTGGGTATAGATTAATGTGGGGTTCGAGGGCTGTAAAAGGTTTATTACGTACTTTTTTAGGTAGAGTCCTGCCACCAGGTGTGTTTTATCGGACACACCACCGTTTGTGATAAAATGGATGATTAAGGCGCGAGGGTAAGAGTCACTCTGAAGTCCAGGAATTAACCTCTCAGGAGGAAGAATGCAGAGTCAGATATAACCAATTTAAGGACATTTATTAACATAAACGAAAGTTTTAGAACAGAATTATAAAAGCCGATTTTGGAAATTTGCCTATTCTTATCTATATAACGAGGGGGGTGCCTAACGGGGGGTATTCGAACTTACGCGACTCACAACATACCAAATAAACAAGATGTCTTCTCTTGTGACGTGGACTTGACGGCCAAGACTGCAGAGGTTCCTGGTGTTCACTGCACTTCGTCTCGTGCTTGCTCGTTTTTGGAGTCGTCTTCTCTTGAACCACTCTTTCTCTGGTTGGAGCTGTGTCCACAACTGCTGACTATCTCACTGTCTCCTTCTAACTGTCTTTCTAACTGGACTGTGTCCTCACTCTGACTGAACTGCCTTTTCTCCCGTTGGGGCTTCCCTTTTAAACCCTTTCAGTATGAGAAAGTCATCATCGGGTGATGACTCATTGGCAGTGTCATCATTGTAGCTGAGACAGTGTTTTCTTATTTGGGGATGACTTGCAGCTTTCTTAGAGTCATCTTCTGAATCGACATGACTTATCTTTGTTCTTAGTCATTGTTTGTTCATTGCTTGCTTTGACTAAGTTCTTCATGTAAACATTGCCGAAAACAAAGGGGGATGCAATGTTCCTCATTTCTATATAATTTTTGATTATTTGGTTGCTTTTTCCTCTTTTCTTTGGCATGTTGTGAGATTTTGAATGATAAACCGTTTTATTCTAATTACTTGATATTAAAAAAGGGGGTCCCTAGATTGGTACAATAGGCGAATTTCCTCTTACAACTTCGGTTGTTATCCAAGATACAATTAAGGTTCATGTGAATACATAATTAAAAAAAGATATAAAGTAAATAAACAAAAATTATTACAAATAAGTTTACAATATATATATATATATATTTTTGGAGGGTGGTGGTGGTCCTCACATTAAGTAATGAAATTTGGCATGGTGGCTTCTATATGAGAGGCACTGGTGCAATTAAATTTTGGTGGTTAAAGATTGATGGAGTGGGGAGATAAAGGGGGTCATGTATATCTCCAGTAGGGTCAAACTTAATGACAATTTTACTCATTATCAATATTTATACTTTTTTTTATAAAACACAATTTTATTAAGTTATATTGTAATTAAAATTATAAAACTTATTTTCTAAATAAGATTTCATAATAGCAGGGAAAGTTATGCAACTCATTGCTGGATTTTTTATTTAGAATTTGCCTTACCTCATTCAAGAAATCAAACAAATATTAATGTCTCTATTACTCAGAAAAGATAGCAAGGAAACCTTTTCCAAGGCTGTATAATTTTTGGTATGGTTTGTATCTAGGATGCAAATGGCAGAAGTGTCTGTACCATCATGGTCTGCCATGTTGTCCTGGTTGGGTCAGTCTGACAAGTGAGTAGCATTTGATGAGAACATAATACATTAATAATAATAAATATAATAATAATAAACAGAAGGGGTAGGATAAAAAGATATATAAATACATTTCACTCTTTTTCCCATGTTATAGTAGCATATTAACAAGTGAATTCTGACCTGAGCTAAGTGGAACAAAAGGCCGAACCATTAACTACATAGCTCCCTGTCATGCTTGACAGGAAACTATCTAATTATATTAATATTTTATTTCATCTGAAGTTAATGACTCTATATTGATTTCTAAGATAAATTAGTATATTATTTAACAATCAGAAAATTTAAAATAATATAGATTAATCACTCCATATTTTCATAATTTAAATTTGATTAATCATATTTTACAGTTAGTTTAAAAATAAAAGATAATGTTAAGCAAAATTCATCTATATCTGTGAGAATAAAAAATTTAATTGTCTTATCTTTTTCAATTAATTGTAATTACTTACATTTAACATTACGATATAAAAGAAAAGGACTTTGAAGTTGAAATTCAATTTCTTCTGTTATAGGTTCAGTAAGATTAGTTGTATTCAGACGATTCATGATAATGAATCCATGATGAGGTTTTTGTGACCTAAAAGTTAAAATTACATTAATAAAAAGACAATTTCTTAGTTATTTAAATTATTCAAATAAAAGCTTAATAATCCAAATAAAACAAGTTAATTTTTTAGTTTTTCTAATTATTTTCTAAAATAATCACGTTACTTTCATAAATAAGCATTATTCTAAAGTCCATTAAATTTTAAATTTCTTTCAGTTTTTCCCTTTTTGTTAAAAATATCAACATTGAAGATAATTTCAATAACTTTTACTAGAATAAATAAGTACCATAGATAAATCTAATAAAACTTTTGAGTGTTCTGAAAAATCTGATCAGTTTAAGAATGACCTAAATAACTAATAAAATTCTAAAAGCTAGTAAAGAGAGAAAAGATACAGCTTGCAAATAGTTCTAATAAGCAGAAATCTATAGGTTTAATCAATAAATAACTATTTCAAGATTATAACTGAACACTAACATCTAAGTTAAAAAAATTTTAAATTATTGTATTTTTTTAATATACAAGGACACCTATTGTTTCTTTGATATTTAAAGATGTGATGCAGATGTTTCTATTAATTCTAACAGATTAGACAATAGCCCTTCAGTTTTTTGAAGATAATTTGATTCATAATGTTTACTGTTATTAAAATTATTACTAGTCTAATCATTCTGAACTGAACTTGTTTTACTATTTAACTTTTCCATACAATTGTAAATTACTTTTTCGTTTTTGTACTTTTTCCTATAATGTGTTAAAGAATTTGAAAAGATTTGACTACCAGTACTTTTACAAAAAATAAACAGATCATAATTTACTTTTTGTTCATTATTTAAGTGTAACGGTGAAAGTTAATTCAACACAATTATATCTAGACTGTCAGAACTAAAATGAACCAACTGGCAAAAATATTTAGACCTATATCAATATAGTAGTATAATAGCTTTGAAATCATTTTCTAACTTGCAATATTAATTTTATAAACTGCCTTTACTTTTCGAGTTTTGATAATATAATAATTTTAAAGCAATAACTAATTAAATAACTTACCTCTCATAAACAAATAAAGTTCCCTCAATTTCTGTTTTTTCCTTAAAGACATGGATAAACCATTAATTTCAAACATAATTATATGTAAGTTATTATATTATATAATATAATTATATTACAAAATTTTTAAGTTACTCTTCATACATATATATAAACTCAGATACTTGAAAATAAAAACATTTCAAGATATTATTTACAAAGGAAAATCAAAGAATATTTTTAAATTTATGCAATACATATATCAACTGAATATAAAGTTATATTTTTAAATTAAGTATCATTAAAAACTATTAGAAAAAATTAATTAATCATTATTTAAATCTCATTATACATGACAATATGAGAGAGATAATGGTCAAACAATTAACATTTTGATGATAATACATGATTATGATTCTCAAGTACTTTTTTTTTCTTTTCTTTCTATTTTAAAATTATTTTGTGATTTATAATTGTGATAATTAAATACATTTATGATTTACAAGGAGAGCCTACGGCTTTGGGGTAACGGATTTTGATGATCTTTGGTGTAGAGGTAGTACACGATATGAGTGTACACGATATGAGTGTACTACCTGTAAAATACTAAAGTGCAATACTCAAATATAATCGAGAAAATCGAACTTAAAGTTTTGTTAGCACTTTATATATAAATTATACGTATTTCTATTCGAGCGTCCTGTGGCAGAGTGGTAACGAGTCTGATTCATAAGCTTGAGTTCTCGGGTTCGATTCTCGCGTATAATTTTTTTTTTAATTCATAAATACTTATAATGTATTTATTTATTTACTCATTCATTTATTTCTTATTATTTATTTATTTTAATTTAATTTCTACTATTCCAAGTCTAATATTTTTATACTTTTGTTGACAATAACGGCGCATTCTTGACACCTATGTGTCAACTTTCCCATCTAATTGTTATCACTAACGGTGACCGATCTAATTCTCACTAGGAGCGTTTTTTCTATCGGAGTTCTTTTTCACTCACTCTTTAACAGTTCGTTTCTAAATTTCGACACGAATAGACGTATTTGTGTAGTAAAACTTATTTTGAAAAATTATTTTATAATCGAAAAATGTCGTCAAGAGAAGCAAGTTCTTCACGTTGTGACGAAAAAACTGTTGATGATACCTTTTAAAAAAGCAGCATTTATTTGTTGTTCTTGGTGTAGACAGAATTTTTGTTTTGAATGTTTTTATCATAAGTATCATTCACGATCATGTACATCTGACAATGATATGTAATTATATAATATTGCTTCAATAAATTATATTCGTTTTTCTTGGTTATATTTGAGTTTTGCACTTTACAAGTTAGTATTTTACATCACTGTATAAAGAGTTATCATCAACAGTTTTTTCGTCACAACGTGAAGAACTTGCTTCTCTTGACGACATTTTTTGATTATAAAATAATTTTTCAAAATAAGTTTTACTACACAAATACGTCTATTCGTGTCGAAATTTAGAAACGAACTGTTAAAGAGTGAGTGAAAAAGAACTCCGATAGAAAAAACGCTCCTAGTGAGAATTAGATCGGTCACCGTTAGTGATAACAATTAGATGGGAAAGTTGACACATAGGTGTCAAGAATGCGCCGTTATTGTCAACAAAAGTATAAAAATATTAGACTTGGAATAGTAGAAATTAAATTAAAATAAATAAATAATAAGAAATAAATGAATGAGTAAATAAATAAATACATTATAAGTATTTATGAATTAAAAAAAAAATTATACGCGAGAATCGAACCCGAGAACTCAAGCTTATGAATCAGACTCGTTACCACTCTGCCACAGGACGCTCGAATACAAGTACGTATAATTTATATATAAAGTGCTAGCAAAACTTTAAGTTCGATTTTCTTGATTATATTTGAGTATTGCACTTTAGTATTTTACAGGTAGTACACTCATATCGTGTACTACCTCTACACCAAAGATCATCAAAATCCGTTACCCCAAAGCCGTAGGCCCTCCTTGTTAGATCACAGGTCAGTAACTAGTGGCCTGTGAGCTATATACAGCCAGAATATATGTTGTACAGTTAATTACATTTTATTCTTCTTGTGGCAAATTTAATTATACAATTCTTTATAAAATTTTTTTTATCAGAAACATACATATTTAAATATTTACATTTATTTTTATAAATACTTATTCTTTTTGGTAATACTATATGAACCTTTTTTGTATTTGACATTATTTTGAAGTGTATTGGTTTTGCTGCATGGCAACAATTATGCCAGAATTCTCTTTATTTGAGTATTTCATTTCCACAGTCCATAATATTCTTTTGTAATTTAAATATTTACAGCTCATTTCATCAAAATAAAACTAAATTTTAGCCTACGAATCACTAAATAACCAGTCTGATTTAAACAATTAAATCAGGAAAGTGTTTTTGATAGTCTTAACATACATTTGTGGACAAGTGTTCAGACACATTGATAAAAAGAGAAAAGTGTTATTTATATCATGACAAAGAGTGCGAAATGTTTCCTTCTGCTTGTGTTATGATCAGATGAAGCTATTATAGTCATTTGCATAATTTTGCACACTTCTGGAGGTTTAGTATTTGCCAAAATACCACATGGAAACAAGTTTATAGACTTTCAGTGCAGCATGATTATTGAATACCATTGCAATAATCAGTCTTTATGTAATATTTCCAGACTTCTGTTGTAGACTTTATTACCAACAGAAAGAAAATGGAAAATGTGGACCTGCACATTGACACAGAAGGCTTCAGAAACTCACTGACTTTAGGAGGAAAAATTTTGAAGAAAAATCGCATGTCAGCTGCTATGGATATTAGAACTTTCAGCAAGTATAACTGTAGCAATGACAAAGCTGTCCAGTGGGAGTTGCACACTGCAGTTATTATAACAGGTGTGCTGCCTATAATCCCAAATCTCCTGATCCAATGCAAGCTGGTGGCTCCAAATGGTCTAAACCAGGGGTCACCAAACTATGGCCCATGGGCTAGATCAGGCCTGCCAGGTCAATTCATCCAGTCCGCCGCTGCACTGTGTCACAAATGATCTAAAATATAATTATTTATACGAAAATATCATAGATTGTAGATGAATGTGCTATGAAGAAAAAATTAAAATAAGTGTAAGTAAGCGGACTTTTAGGGAGGAGTCAATTTAACCCGCATTATCCCTACATATCCTGCAACATCCCACATACAAACATCCCTTAGGATGAACCTACGGGATGTTTGTATGTGGGTTGTGGCGGAGGAGACAAATGATGACAAGTGTCTTACAAAGTAAAAAAAGGCATTTATTTTGTCAAATTCATGCTTACATCAATATTAGACAGTTCCCAAATCTTGGTGTTCCTTTGAAGTGGAGAGAGTTTCAGTTTATCGGTTGTAGCCCCAGGGCTGATGAGAAGGGTTTGTTGGACGAATGCAGATGATCAGTGAAGATGTAGCAGCGTCCTATGTGGTCAATGGCAACACAACACAACTTAATGAGCATGACTTTGGTTAAATCCAGAGGAAGACAGTCCTTCAACCTTGAATTACTAATTTTTATAGTTTTTCTGCTGCTATCCATATTTCTGATTGGCCCCATGTCCCATTCTTCGTTTCCCGATTAGTTTCTCCTTTGTTTCCAGGTGAAAACCGAGACCTGATCGGGTCACGAGAAAGGTCCGATTTGAGGCATCTATTCGACATCTTTTCGTCGACTATGCCTGGAGATTGTTGATAGAACCTTAAAAGCCTTGCGCTCATAATTTAGCCTATTGTTTGTGATTTCTGTCATTTTGGAACTTTAATGATCGTATGTGATATTTTTCTATCCCTCAAATCTTTCCCTCTTCTGAAAATTTTTTCTAGATCAACTGTTTATGAGCACTTGTGTCAGAGTTCTGCCTTTCCCAACCAACATTCCATCTGATCCATTATGTCATTTGTTTTTGTGTCACGTTTGTTTGACAGTTCGTTTTTTTCTCTTCTCTCCTGTACATAACTAACATCACATTCGATCTGACTCAACAATAGCATTTTTGTTCCTAATTAATTTAAAATTAAATTTTTGTTTTGACCTTTTCTGGAACCTCACAACAGTAGTATAATTTTCAAGAAAATCAGTGAAAAGAAAAATTTGGCAGCTTTTTGCAACTCATACTAGAGTGCTTTTTGTGTAAGTACCTGCAATGAAGTTTAAGAAAAGCTATTACGAGCTTGCTGCAGCGATCGTGTTGGTTTGTTAGTAAATAAATATGTTTGTTTTCTTTATTTTTTGTGTATTCAGTATACTGTATTGAACAAAATAGTTATGCGGCCCACATTTGTCATTCTCTCAGTTATCTGGCACGTTGTGAAAAAAGTTTGGCAACTCCTGGTGTAAACAATGATGCTCCTGGATCACAGATGACTGGAAAAAGTCACATGGAGTGACAAATCATACTATACACTTTATCAGTTGAATGGGTAAGTTTGGATTTAGCACTTGCCCAGAAATGATTCAGTCATGGTTGTGTTGTTCCCATAGTACAATGTCGCAGAGGATTAGTGATGGTTTGGACCTGTTTCTGCTGGCACAGACTGGATCCTTTGGTTCTGATGCCTACCACTATAAACAAGAACCTCCTTGCCCAACATGCAATTATTGTAACCTTGTTTAAATTTTAGGTTGACTTTTATCTAGGAAATAATATATTTTTAACGTCAAACCCAAGCTCTAAGTAACTTATAACACTTGTAAATGTTAAAAATCATTATCACTACTTTACCATACTTATATATATTGGTTAAACAGTTTCTATTCTTATATCATCACATAATTATATCATACTTTTCCTTTAATAATAAAGTTGTGTTGATCATCTATTAATTGCTTTCAGGGAAAAAGTTCTGAATTGAAATAACGTGACTTCTGGTTTGATTCAAAAGTTTGTATATAGTTAATTGGGTTTCTGTATCTGATCTTCATCTTTCATCTATCTAACTCCATTCTTGAGATTAAGGAAAGACAGATGGATAGATAACAGTGGGAATTTATAGGTCTACAGTTTTTTC